GACCCCCGCCCCCTGCCCGCCCTCCACCACACACACACACTGCTCCCTGTTGCTTTCTCTCTCTCTCACACACACACACACACACACACACAGACAGACAGACAGACAGACACACACACACACCCCACACCCCGTCAGTGAAGCAGAATCAGTTGCCACTGCCTGCCTGTGCTTGCTCACAAAAGAAAAACAAAAAAAAATCTGGGTAATTTGGTTGAAGACACTTGCCTCTATTTAAAGTGACTTTCATAAAGTTCTCTTTTGTGGAAACCTTTAGAAACATCTGAATCTCAGTGTCCTCTGAGATCATGGTCCTTAGTACCTTTCAGGTCTGAAAAGATCTCCCCTCCCCGGTTCATTCTCAGCTAAACTTTAGGCAAGTCTGCAAGAGGCACAAGCCACTCGGGAAGTGTATCAACTGTTTGAGAACAAAAGGGCAGCATGTACTCCAGGACAGCGCTCAGGAGGGTGGTGAGAGGAAGTAGGATTGTGGGGACTGCCATCAGTGAAATGAAACAAAATGTGTCGGACTTGTGTCTGAACTCCCAACTGTATGTGTGTCATTCCACTCATGCCAACCTTCACTCAGTTCACAAGAAGAGAACTACCTGAGAGCAAAGGCTTAGGAAGAGCACGGATCGTTGGGATAAAATGTAGATCCCACTTCAATCAGTTGTAACAGAGTTTGGGTTTCACATTTTCACTATCCTTTGGTGGAGACAACAATGGCCTTGAAGTTGTCAAAGGGTCGGCAAAGGGATCTAAAGCCAGAGCCAGGCTTACCGAGAGCCAAATCATGGGTAAGGGATCAAGCGCACTGAATAGAGTATGCCCGTGTGCTTGCTCCCTGAAGCCTCACTGGAGCCCAGTGAGCCTCTGCTATAGCGGAGGCCGGTTTTCACAGCTGGCTTAGGTCTTACAGCTGTTCTGACACGACCCTAGCAATTTCGCTTCCCAGTCAGTATTCTTAACCACGATACCATGCCGCCCAGGTTCAAAGACCAATATGGTTGGCTTCCATGGCGTGTGCCAGAGCCCGGCTCCCTGTCCTCATGCTCAGTGCTTCTGATTTGTAGTCTTTACACGTCCAGCTCTCCCTTCTGGAGTTAGGATTGTAATTTTAGTACTCCTTTCCAGGTCGTCTCTGCAGGAAGAGCTATTAAAATTTAAATTAACCTTTCTCCCTTTATTGCTTCATTTCCCATTCCAGTAACCAATTCTTTAAAAAAAAAAAAGGGGGGGGTGTCAGAATGGACTCAGTGGCGATGAGTGACCCTTATTTCACATGGAATATGATTTAGAATGGACCAAGAAGCCCTACCTGGCACTCAGCCTTCCTTCAGGGAACTGTGAAGTCCCTGCTCTCCGTGGGAAGAGCATTCACTGGTGAGCTGTCCCGAGAGGTCTCCTGTGCTGGTGGGAACACCGCCCAGGAGCCGCCATGCAGCCTGTGGCTCAGCAGCTGATGCCTGGAAACGAAACCCTCCTCCCAAGAGACCTGTGCTTTTGTCACCTCCAGATTAGGCCCGAGTAAGCCTCGGGCGTTTCTAACACTTCAGAACTCTGGAAACTTCTGTCCTGATGCGTGTCCACGCAGCTGGAGACAAACAACCCATCAGCAGTTAAGCATGGAGCGATTTTTGCCCTTTTGAAAATGATCCCGAAGGAAAAGACGTACTTGAATAGGTCTGGAAATAGACATGCTTCCTAGAAGCTTTTGCGTTTCGACAGTCACGAGACCATTGCTGTTGAACATTTATTGAGTTCTCACAATGTGGTAGGCGCCACACACAACATCACAGTACCTGCCCGTTGGGCTTACAGTCTAACCTATGGACATACCCATGTTGTAAATGTTGCCACTGAGTTTGCAGTTCATGAAAATGAGGGATCAACTGCACTGGTTAGTGCAGGCAGTGAGCCTATCGAACAACATTGGCTTTGTAACCGGCTTCCCCAAAGCAGGCGGCCACAGTTGCTTCTTCGGTAAGCTCTCAGCACATGGTTGGCATTTCCTCAACTGCAGGGACTGTGGTGTGTACAAGCATTTCTAAAGCTCCCATTTCAGATCACGAGGGTTCAAATCTAGCCTTTAAAAGACAACGTTTGGATAGATTTTTAAGCAAACTGTTATTCAGAACAGGCCCTAGGTAAAAATAGTGACGAGGCTCCTGTTCCTAGAAACATCCACCTTGGCAGTTGCTCAGAGCAGCCTCCAAGTTCCTTCAACAAGAGCCTTTGTTCTTCTATCCCAGCGATGCAAATGTGTAGTTCATGGTTCCTGGCGTTGAATTGGGTGTCTGCCCTGAAGAGGTGTGTCTGTGGGCGGGGCCCTCTCAGATCACACACAATTCACAGGGGTTATTGGTCCTTAGCAACTTAGCACATTGACTTCTAACTCTAGGAAGAAGCAACAACAACAACAACAAAAGTGCCACAGGTCTCCAGAATGTACCAGTAACTTGTAAAAATATGGCTTGTTAAAATATCTGCCACTGACAAAAATTCAGAGATGCTTGCTGGTCCTATTTTCATGGCTGGTGAGGTCGAAGTGGGCACACCTTTACTTGTAAACCACCTAGCAGAAGAGATGGGTTTTGTTTGGAAGATGAATTTTATGCAATGAAAGCAAATGGTTTGGTTCTTCCTTCTCATGACTTGTTTCTCTAGATTCAGTCTCTGTCTCTTCATGTTCCCCGGGGGCTCATGAACCCTCCACTCCTTAACCTCCCAATCCTTCCCCCACGTCCATCTCGGTCTGCAAGGACAGCACTCACAGGAGCCTGTGCTGTGCTCCGTCAGTGCTTCCCTTGTGACTGCCGCTGGCCTCCCTGTGCCGAGGAAAAGCGTTCCAAACGCGTCCACCGGCACCTTCCGAATGTGCACCAACAAGGACGTCAGTATGGAGGGAGGCTCTTGCAGAAAGCAAAGAATGCTGGCAAGCTGCAATTCCAAATAAATTATAATTTGATGGGAAAAGGTTGCCTGCATGCACTTTTCCATTTTATAAAATGTCCCCTTGTCTCCCTTCCCCAAGGCTGGTACCAACTTTAGCTTATAAAACAATCCTTGTTTTGTACTTTCTTTGCATTTACAAAACAAAACAGGAGTGAACAAAGGTACTTGAGTGTTTTGTCCTACGACTGAGACGTGGGCCCTCAGCCTTCTCTGTTAGCTGTACTTCAGCTTTCCAAACCCTTTACTCTTATTGAAACACAACTGCAAAGCTCAACTTGTAGAATCGCTAGAATGCAAACCAATTTTTAAAAAAGACTTTGTTTAAATTTTTTGTTGTTGAATTGAGCTTTAATGGCACCCCAGGTTGCTGCAAAATGCTCGGCTACTGAACTACACCTTGGAGGTCGAGGTGCACCCAGAGGGCCCTCGGGAGGACGGCTGGTGACCAGCTGTGGGAAGCCAGTCCGACAGCCGTGTGCTGAGCAGTTCTCTTCTGGCACATGTGGGGTTGCCAAGGGTTGGCGGCCACTCCATGGCTAGTGGCTTGGGTAATGTTTGGTACAGGGCACTAAATGGTTGAAAACTACAACCATTTTTCATGGGGTGGCATAGCAACGCCACACCGGAGAGGGTGCCATTTATTTGAACAGTATTATCAAGAGTAGCCCTTGGCTGACTGTCATATTAAAGACCATGGATTGTGTGGCCAGACTCAGTCCACGGGCACCAGCACAGCCTGGGCGACATCTCTGAACTCTGGGCGTCCGCCTGAACGCAGATCTCATGTCCATGCCTGGTTCTTTCCTGCGACAGGCGCAGTTTTCCCACATCGGCGCGTCTCTTCATGCTAGAACCGCTTACATCTACAGAGTTCCTGAAGAAGCGAAAACACTTTTTATAATATTAAACATAGCGTATGGAATTCTTCCTCAGCTTTTGGCCTATCGTTGTATCTACAAGCCAGAGTTCTTCATAAAAACCAAGGCCGAAGAAAAAGTCGAATAAAAATATTGCTTCTTGGTCTTTCTTGCTAAACTACTGACATTTGCTATATTGATACTGATGGTGTGTCCCATTTGACGCCCTCCCTTCCCGTATCTGTATATGTAATTCCTCTGTACTGTATGTGTGTTTTAACAGAGTAGTGTGTAGGTAATTTTTTTAACTTTTTCTGAAGGAAAATTAAAGTTGTTGAGAGGAACAGTTTCTAAAAGGAAATGTATTCTAAGTTATTTGTAAATAAAACTGACCACCTAGCTTGATACTGTTTGCATTATATTAAAGAATTGTTAGTGTGAAACTTTATAGTTTAGCTCCTTCAGTAGTAAGCCCGACGACTCAGATGATTCAAAGGTGAGTAGGGGCTGTGTATATTTACAAATTCTAAACAGCAAACGTAGAGTGGACAGTTTGTGTGTGTGGACGTCACAACATGTTTCACTGTCAACCTCAATATACAAGGCAGGTCCATCAAAATATTTTTAAATGTTGAAAACTGCCTTCATTAAATTGCTTTGAGTGTGAATTTAAAGAGCAATCAATAATCATTACTCTTAATGAACGTTTACTGGTGACAACATTTCTATTGTATTTCTGTGGATATTTTTAATAAAATTACTTTTGGCCTTTTACGAAGACAAGTTTTATTATATTGGAAACGTTTTGTGTCTTTTTTTTAATGACAAGTTTTATAGCTTCAGGCTTTCCATTTTAAAAAGTCTGTCCATTAGTTTCAAATTAAAAATGTCACTGAGATTTTCCTTGTGTTTTATGAACTATGTACAATGGGGCAGTCTTCTGATGAATCATGGTAATATTCAAAATTACTAAGTTTTTTTAAGTAAAAGAACTGGATTGGTGTCTCTTATCTTTTTTATCAGCATATTGTCTTTGGACCTGTGTGTGACTGTACTAGAGAAAGTCTTATTGGCTAAATGTGGAAAATAAACCAAAAATAGCGATGTCATCTCAGTGTGCCACAGACAAGAAAGTGGACGTGTGCTTTCCTACCCCAGGCTGCCACCATCTCCATCCCCACCACCACCATCCCCTCCCCGCCATCCCCTTCCCCCCACCACCACC